GGGCACTTCTTGACGAGTCATGGCTAAAAAAAGGTTAACATGATGTTATATATAATAACAACAATTGATTGAATTGAATAAACAAAACACCCACCTACACCACCATTTTGGGGAACTCTCTACGGTTGAAGAAGAGTCGTCAGTTTCTAAACAAAGCCGAGCACCTTAACTCATGATTGCTGTTTCAGGTATGCAAACACAACCACCAACCACTCTCTAATTCATTCCCTAATCATTAGGAATCATAAACACCAGCAGATGTTAACATGGGTTTGTTGTCTGAATCGTTTTTTCACATCTGTTTCTGGTTGCTATGAGGTTGTTCTGTGCATCATGGAATTGGGGTGTCAGGAAATGCTGGAAGTCTTTTCCTTTCTGTCTTTTTTTGGTTTTGAAGATTTGGGATGAGCAAATTCCTGTCAGTTCTAAAGTTTATGAAAAGGGTGTTCTCTTTTGTTTCTTTCTTCACGGCATCTAACTCCATTTCTGTTTTTCTTTTAGTAAAAAATGAAAATTTGGGTTTTTGGATAATCAAGGAAGAAACTTTATTGAAACAGGGTTGGTTCAAGAGATGATCTTTTAGTTTAGTTGTTGTTATCCCTTTGCTTGGTTCTCTAGCTAGTCCCTTTTCTATGGATTTAAATGAATATACGGACCTATGTTTTTGTTTTCTTCATTTTAGGTGTGAAATTCAATTTTGGTTGGTTGGTTACTTTTGCGTCTTTAATTTGGTTGGTTGTTTACTACTTGTGTTTAATATGCTTGTATAATAATAATAATTATTATTTTATATTTGATATACTTGTTTTTTATGGTTTCCATTAAATTTATATTTGTATGTTTCAAGGCATGTTCGTGTCTTTTTAATTTAAAAATGAAAAACACGTTTTAATTTTTCCAAGTAAATTTTTTTTAGTGGCCAAAACCAAAAGGTTTTAAAATTTGAGTGTATATATTGCAAATATGACTAATTATGGCATCTCCTTTCTGATGAAAATCCCTTTTTCATTTAGTCCTCTGTAGTATCTGATTCTTGAAAGGCCTTTCCTTTTTGTTCCTTTTTAAGTTACTGACTGTTGGATTTATATTAACTTTTTTTGGCCGATTGTGCAATTCTTTGATAAATTCATAGTAGAATTGAAGAAATGGATGTTCAACATTGCTGCTGAAGAAGAAATCACTTGTCTATGCCATCTCATAATCTATCAACTGCTGGTTGTTGATCAAATGAGGTGATTTTGCCTGAGTCAGTAACTGCTGCTGGTAGAGACTGTTATTATTTACTTCTGAATTCTATTGAGAGAGTTGACTTCTATAACTTCCGTTGGTGGTCATTAGTTTTCTGGCAGCAGGGTGTTCTGTGGGTTGGTTATAGATGCAAACATCTCAGAAACACCAAACTCCAGCCGGTATCCACAGGTTGTACCACCAACCTGTTCAGGAAATTGAACCTTGTTGTGTCTCTCATTTCCAAATTTTAGACAGCAATGCATCTTCAGATATTGGGAGCCAAGGAACTGCTGTCTCGCTTCAGACCTTGAAGGATCAATTTTTTACCCTGGAATCATCTACAGTTACTGCAGGTGTTGTTTTCTATGATTCCCCTTCTGCATTAAGTGTTTCCTCCAACAGGAGCACCTTTTCGCCGCAAGGTTCTCATTCTGGCCTGTCTGATCCTCATTCTGGCCTGTCTGATCCTCATTCTGGCCTGTCTGATCCTCATCACTCCCCTGACAATGCTTATGGATCACCATTTAGTGGATCTTCTGTTGCTGATGATAACTATGAACTGAGGAACAAACTGAGAGAGCTAGAAGTTTCACTGTTGGGGCCTGATTCAGATATTATAGATACCTGCAATTGCTGCTTCACTAATGGTGCCACTCATGCTGCTTCTGTGGCAAACTGGAACCAGGATCAATTGATGGAAATGATACCTAGGTTAGACTTGAAGGAGGTCCTCATTGCTTGTGGCCAAGCAATATCCGAAGGTGACATGCCAACAGCAGCAGGTTTAATGCACATCTTGGAGCAAATGGTTTCAGTCTCTGGGGAGCCAATCCAGCGGTTAGGTGCTTATGTGTTGGAAGGGCTTAGAGCAAGGTTGGAGTCCTCCGGAAGTAAAATCTACAAATCCCTGAGGTGCCAAGAACCAACAAGCTCTGAACTGATGTCTTACATGCATGTCCTCTTTCAGATCTGTCCATACTGGAATTTTGCTTACACATCTGCTAATGTTGTGATCAAGGAAGCCTTGGAAAATGAACCAAGAATTCATATAATTGACTTCCAGATAGCACAGGGAACGCAGTGGATGTTTCTCATGGCAGCTCTTGCAAAACGCCCTGGTGGACCTCCAATAGTCCGCATAACTGGTGTTGATGATACCCAGTCAAATCATGCCCGCGGCGGAGGACTTCATATTGTGGGGGAGAGGCTTGCAGAATTTGCTCGGGAACACAATGTGCCATTTGAGTTTCGTGATGCTGCCATGTCTGGTTGTGAAGTGCAAGTAGAACATCTTGGGGTTCAGATTGGAGAGGCCATAGCTGTGAATTTTCCTTTTGTATTGCATCACATGCCAGATGAGAGTGTCAGCACCTGGAATCACAGAGACCGGCTAATAAGGCTGGTGAAGAGTTTGTCACCCAAGGTTGTGACCCTTATTGAGCAAGAATCCAATACCAATACATCACCATTCTTTCACAGGTTTATCGAGACACTGGATTACTACAACGCCTTGCTTGAATCGATAGCAGTTGCTCGTCAAAAGGATGACAAGCAGAGAATAAGTGCAGAGCAGCACTGTGTGGCTCGCGACATAGTCAACATGATAGCCTGTGAGGGGCATGAAAGGGTGGAACGGCATGAACCTTTTGGGAAATGGAGATCAAGATTCATGATGGCCGGTTTTACTCCATGTCCATTGAGTTCTTCGGTGACCATTGCTGTTGCCAATCTCTTGAAGGACTTCCACAGGAACTACAGAATTGAAGAAAGAGATGGGGCCCTCTATCTTGGCTGGGTGAATAGAGCTATGGCAACCTGTTCTGCATGGAAGTGAAACTGTCATGGCTAGTGGCTATGGAATAAAATCTGTAAATTTTCCAAAAATATATCAATATCTCTCTGCTCTGCTGTCTTGTGGAGCATGAATCTTAGTTGTGAGTTCTTAGAACCAAGAGATTAGCTTCTTTTGTTTTAATGGTGTAGTGTTAGAGCAATAACCCTAAGCTTCAATTTTCACTGTAAATTTTCTCCTCCTAATGAAAAAGTAGTATTGAATTGTGCTATATGTCAGCTTTCTCCTTCCCATTTAACTTGAATGGTGTATCATGAATAATTAATTTTTGATTTGTAGTTTTTCTCAAAAAGGTATTTTACAAATAAAACTGCATATTAAAAATACAATTTTACATATAAAGTTATTAAAATATTTTTAATGAAATCATTTTTTATATTATTTTATTAGTGATAATTTAATTAGTTCATATGTGAAGCTACACCTTTATTGTGTAATCTTATAAAACATGAATTTCATCTATTTTAAATAAAATGCATTTTTATGCTTATTTCTCGAGTACTAGATGGAGCATAAATAAATTGTTCATTTTGCTTTTACTAAAAAGATTTTTTTTTCATGAAACCTAAATAAACTCTAAATTTTATACCAATAATTTAGGTTGCTTAATAACATTGGTTTTTTCCATTTTTTGGTAGTTTGGAAAGTTAAATATTCATGGAAATCATTTTTCTTTTTTAATTTCCTTGTACCTTAAGTTTGGCACAGTGCAGAAAATGATTTCTTTTCCTTATCCTTGACTCTCAGAAATTATTCAAAATGATACTTTTCCATAACATATTTCAAAAATTAATTTTTCTTTTGTTTTGTTTTTCTGGTAAATAAAACGAATATTACTGCTACCAAGTAGACTGCCGATAAATTCATACTCTACAAGTAAGAAGTTTGTTTCAGTTTAGCGTTTTAAGCATGCATTTCCTGTGGTGTACAGGGTTCCAGCCCATTGAAAGGTGGTGGAAAATGTTGAAAAATGGGGGAGCTCTCTTTCAACCGCCCACGGCATTTATTACCATGTTGACAAAAGTCTTGATTGCAGGAAGAATCCTCCAGCCTATTGCTAGACCCGGCACCACCCTAAAGGCTTGTTCACATATTCTTACGTGAGTTGATAACCTCTAGAGGTTGGTGGATAAGGCAGAAGAAGTAAGCAAGAGAAATTGACACAAGTTAAGTGAGTGATTGCTTGTGAGAAAAAAAGAAAGAGAAAATTTGTGAGATAATTTTTATAAAAATTAAAAGAGGGCATTAGAGATAATTTGAGAGTGTTATATACTAGAGGTTAGGTGTAAAGAATTTTTTGAGTAAGAATATTTTTAAATTATTATATTTTTTTAATAATAAATTTATTTATTTATTTTTTTATAAATATAAATGTATCGAAAGATATACAATTTAAATTATATTAAATTATTATTTTAAATTCTTTATCACTATAATACGTATGGAATTGTGATACATAAAATTTTCAACATTTTTTTGCTTTAAAAGAGAAAAAGTTAATAGATTTTTTTTTTTTTATAAGGACAATGATTAGAAGTTAATATATTAAAGGTATTAATAAAAGGTATTGAACTCGAGATATGAAAATGCAAACTACAGATTGCCCTTTGAATGACCATTGAGTCACGGCACGTGAAATACGATAAAAAGCTAATAGATAAGGCAACTCTTTCTCTTAATTAACTATGTTTCTTTTTTCATTTTCACATTTATAAAATTGCAACGTGGAGAAGACGGATGATTGCAACTGCAGAGCAGACGAGAATCAAGGCATAGAAACCCTGCTAGATGTCTAGAGT